AGACCAAGTTACAGGTCAGCTCTGTGGAAAGGCAACCACACTCACAGTCAAATGCATGTTTTTCTTTGTATTTTTGAGCAATAAAAGCACCTATAATTGAATAAATGTAAGGTAGATCTTTTTAATGTCTTATTGTGGCACATTCTAGGCATAGCAATGACATATCCATAGAAACAACAAAGTAATTATACCCAAATTCCCAAAGATAGAGGAATGGCAAGATTTGTGAACTTTAACACATTTTTGTAACACTTTGTACAGCCTTGTCTTTCTCAGTATCATTTGGTACATAATTATTATTTAATTTTTCTCCCCATAGGAAGAATTGTTTTATATATTAAAATATTATATATTAAATATTAACCAAAACTTACGATTTGTAGCATTTTATTGCATATGCATGTCATGCATTCTTAAAAATAGTGACACACCTTGGGTTCTTTATAGGCCTGGTCTGTGGATTATACTATGTTTATCACAGCACTGCAAATGCTTCCTGGAGGATTGACCTTTTGATACCAGATGCTACATACAAAACAAGTTATATGGGTTTTTAAAGTTTTACTTTTACGTGACACTTTATAAGGTTTTGATGAGGCTGAATGATAAGCACATTACGATGGCTGCAATCTTTATAAAGTAATATCTTTAGAGAGAATTACATATGCCATATTGGGATCTGTTAACTCTGTAGGTGACCATTACAAATATGTCACTTTTGTCCTTGTCCTTTTCTTTATACAGTGGTGGATGAAGTACTCAATTTTGTTACTTAGGTAAAAGTACAGATACAAGGGGAAAAGATTACTCAAGTAAAAGTATTGCATGAAAAAAAGTATTTAAGTAAAACTACTGAAGTATCTATTTTAACATGTATTTTAAGAGTAAAAAGTAAAAGTATTTTGCAGAAACTTTTAGGAAAATTAAAGCATCAAATGTGGTGACTTTGGTTGGATTTTAAGCGATTCAATATGTGAGAGACATGATCAGTTAATTTACAGTTCTACATGATTGTTGTATGAAAGACTTGATTAATTAATTTACAGTTCTACATGATTGTTGTGAATTAATGTACACTTTAATTGTTTTGAGGTTCACTGACACCCCCCTATTGTTTTTATGGTGTTATTATTTTAAATTCAGATTTTGACATTGTCTCCCCCTTGAACTGCCACCTTATCGTGGTGGGGGAGTTTGTGTACCCGAATGATCCTAGGAGCTATGTTGCCCGGGGCATTATGCCCCTGGTAGGGTCTCCCATGGCAAACAGGTCCTAGGTGACGGGGCAGACTAAGAGCAGTTCATAGAACCTCTATGAATAGTTTAAAAACAAGGACCGTTACGTCGCCCGGTATGGCGCAGCCGGGGCCCCACCCTGGAGCCAGGCCTGGGGTTGGGGCTCGAAAGCGAGCGCCTGGTGGCCGGGCCTTTGCCCACGGGGCCCGGCCGGGCTCAGCCCGAAGGGACGACGTGGGCCCGCCCTCCTGTGGGCTCACCACCCGCAGAGGGTTTCATAGGGGTCGGGTGCCGTGTGAACTAGGCAGAGGTCGGGGTCAGGGATCTCGGCAACCTAGTCCACGGACACAGAACCTGGCTGTAGGGACGTGGAACGTCACCTCACTGGGGGGGAAGGAGCCTGAGCTTGTGCGGGAGGTTGAGAGGTACCGGCTAGATATAGTCGGCCTCACCTCCACGCACAGCTTGGGCTCTGGTACCCAACCTCTCGAGAGGGGTTGGACCCTCCATTTTTCTGGTGTTGCCTGCGGGGAGCGGCGGCGGCTGGTGTGGGCTTGCTTATAGCCCCACAGCTCAGCCGCCACGTGTTGGAGTTCACCCCAGTGAGCGAGAGGGTCGCGTCCCTGCGCCTTCGGGTCGGGGACAGGTCTCTCACTGTGGTGTCGGCCTACGGGCCGAACAGCAGTGCAGAGTACCCAGCCTTCTTGGAGTCCCTGGGAGGGGTACTAGATAGTGCACCAACTGGGGACTCCGTTGTTCTACTGGGGGACTTCAACGCCCATGTGGGCAACGCCAGTGACACCTGGAGAGGGGTGATTGGGAGGAACGGCCTCCCTGATCTGAACCCGAGCGGTGTTTTGTTATTGGACTTCTGTGCTAGTCACAGTTTGTCCATAACAAACACCATGTTCGAGCACAAGGGTGTCCATAAGTGCACGTGGCACCAGGACACCCTAGGCCGGAGGTCGATGATCGACTTTGTCGTCGTGTCATCTGACCTCCGGCCGCGTGTCTTGGACACTCGGGTGAAGAGAGGGGCTGAGCTGTCAACCGATCACCACCTGGTGGTGAATTGGATCCGCTGGCGGTGGAGGAAGCCGGAAAGACCTGGCAGACCCAAGCGTGTTGCGAGGGTCTGTTGGGAACGTCTGGCGGAACCCTCTGTCAGAGGGATCTTCAACTCACACCTCCGGGAGAGCTTCTCCCAGATCCCGGGGGAGGTTGGAGATATGGAGTCCGAGTGGGCTCTGTTCTCCACCTCCATTGTCAATGCGGCCGCCCGTAGCTGTGGGCGTAAGGTCTGTGGTGCCTGTCGCGGCGGCAATCCCCGAACCCGGTGGTGGACACCGGAAGTAAGGGATGCCGTCAAGCTGAAGAAGGAGTCCTATCGGGTCTTGTTGGCTCGTGGGACTCCTGAGGCAGCTGATGGGTACCGACGGGCCAAGCGTGAGGCAGCTCGTGCGGTCACAGAAGCAAAAACTCGGAGCTGGGAGGAGTTCGGAGAGGCCATGGAGGAGGACTATCGGACGGCCTCAAAGAGATTCTGGCAAACCGTCCGGCGCCTCAGGAGGGGGAAGCAGTTCTTCACCAACACTGTTTACAGTGCGGGGGGAGAGCTGTTGACCTCGACTGGGGATGTAGTCGGACGGTGGAAAGAATACTTTGAGGATCTCCTCAATCCCACCGCCACGTCTTCCGAGGAGGAAGCAGAGACTGGGGACCCAGAGGCGGACTCGTCCATCACCCTGGCTGAAGTCACTGAGGTGGTTGGCAAGCTCCTTGGTGGCAAGGCTCCGGGGGTGGACGAGATCCGTCCTGAGTATCTTAAGTCTCTGGATGTTGTGGGGCTGTCTTGGCTGACACGCCTCTTCAACATCGCGTGGCGGTCGGGGACAGTACCTCTGGACTGGCAAACCGGGGTGGTGGTCCCTCTGTATAAGAAGGGGGACCGGAGGGTGTGTTCCAATTACAGGGGAATCACACTCCTCAGCCTTCCCGGTAAGGTCTATGCCAGGGTACTGGAGAGGAGAATCCGCCCGATAGTCGAACCTCGGATTCAGGAGGAGCAGTGTGGTTTTCGTCCTGGCTGTGGAACACTGGACCAGCTCTACACCCTCCATCGGGTGCTCGAGGGTTCATGGGAGTTTGCCGAACCAGTCCACATGTGCTTTGTGGACTTGGAGAAGGCATTCGACCGTGTCCCTCGTGGTGTCCTGTGGGGGTGCTCCGGGAGTATGGGGTTCGGGGCCCTTTGCTAAGGGCTGTCCGGTCCCTGTATGACCGGAGCAGGAGCTGTGTTCGCATTGCCGGCAGTAAGTCAGACCTGTTCCCGGTGCATGTTGGACTCCGCCAGGGCTGCCCTTTGTCACCGGTTCTGTTCATTGTTTTTATGGACAGAATTTCTAGGCGCAGTCAGGGGCCGGAGGGGGTCCGGTTCGGGGACCACAGGATCTCATCTCTGCTGTTTGCAGATGATGTTGTCCTGTTGGCTTCATCGAACCAGGACCTACAATGTGCACTGGGGCGGTTTGCAGCCGAGTGTGAAGCGGCTGGGATGAAGATCAGCTCCTCCAAATCCGAGGCCATGGTTCTCGACTGGAAAAAGGTGGCTTGCCCTCTCCGGGTGGGTGGAGAGGCCCTGCCCCAAGTGGAGGAGTTCAAGTATCTCGGGGTCTTGTTCACGAGTGAGGGGAGGATGGAGCGTGAGATTGACAGGCGGATCGGTGCAGCTTCAGCAGTGATGCGGTCGCTGTATCGGACCGTTGTGGTGAAGAGAGAGCTGAGCCGAAAGGCGAAACTCTTGATTTACCGGTCAGTCTTCGTTCCCACCCTCACCTATGGTCATGAGCTCTGGGTAGTGACCGAAAGGACAAGATCGCGGATACAAGCGGCCGAAATGAGTTTCCTCCGCAGGGTGGCTGGGCGCTCCCTTAGAGATAGGGTGAGGAGCTCAGTCACACGGGAGGAGCTCGGAGTAGAGCCGCTGCTCCTTCACGTTGAGAGGAGCCAGTTGAGGTGGCTCGGGCATCTTTTCCGGATGCCTCCTGGACGCCTCCCTCGGGAGGTGTTCTGGGCATGTCCCACTGGGAGGAGGCCCCGGGGAAGACCCAGGACACGCTGGAGGGACTATGTTTTTCTCGGCTGGCCTGGGAACGCCTTGGGGTCCCCCCAGAAGAGCTGGAGGAAGTGTGTGTGGAAAGGGAGGTCTGGGAGTCCCTGCTTAGACTGCTGCCTCCGCGACCCGGCTCCGGATAAGCGGAAGAAAATGGAATGGAATGGAATTTTGACATTGTTGTTTTTATGAGGTGCATTTGAACGCCCCACACTGTTTTTTTTTTTTTACGTGTGCTGCGGCTAGGCATGGGATGAGAGTGGGTACTGTTAGAGCCGGGTTTAATTTTTTTGTATGGCTTTATAATAAATATCCCCTGTGGAAGAGACAACCTAAATCGTTTTTGTGCCTAAAAATCTGCAACTGCATCTGCATCTGATTTCTTAATTTTTCTAGTTTTGTGTGTTTGGTTTGCTCAAAGTTGAGACGTTAACTCAAATTAAATGTGCTAAAAATAAGTCTCAGTTTTTTTCAGCAGGCCTCAAACTATAAAGAAAAGTACTTTTTACTTTTCAGTCTGGATTTGTAATGCAGTGGAGTAGAAAGTACAGATACCTGCTCTCAAATGTAGTGATGTAAAAGTAAAATGTAGCCACTGTAAAATGTACAGATTCCTAAAAATGTTTAAAAAAAAAAAAAAGTACTTTTACTATTGTACTTTGTTACCTTCCACCACTGCCTTTATATTCCTGAGTTCATATAGTTTTAATATAGCTGTTTTCCCCTATATGTTCCTCTGTCACAGGACTTTGATCCACGGTGATAGGAAAGGGGGCTTCACTGTGTTTTGGGCAGATGATGGGCTGGACACTGGGCCTATCCTGCTGCAGAGGGAGTGTGATGTGCAGCTAGACGACACGGTCAACTCCATCTACAACAGGTTTCTGTTCCCTGAGGGCGTCAAGGGCACGGTAAATGGGATGGGGTCAAAGCAAAACCTGAAACATTAGTTTGAATCTAGGTCTTCAATAAATTTTAGAATATATATTGCAAGGAATCATCACAAAACATCACAAACCTTACCTCAGTCATACAATTGTACAGCAGTCAACACAGATGTCTTTATAGAGAGACACAAGCCATTAAAGACACTCCTTAAACAAGCAATCGAATATAAACATATTAATTGTGTTTTTGCATACATTTACTTTTCCTATTGACAACACTAGCTCTTCTATGACCAAAACCTAATCTGTTGTGCCCATTGTAGGTGGAGGCAGTGAGGCTGATTGCCGAGGGAAAAGCCCCAAGGATCGCCCAGCCACAGGAGGGCGCTACCTATGAGTGTATCCAGAAGAAAGCAAACGCAAAGGTAACGGCCCATGAGGACACATATAATCATTTCAAAAGTAGAAAGTAAAACAAAAGTATAGCAAACTACAAGGTAATGTCCAATGTATGTGACAAATTATATTATGTTTTCAGATTGACTGGAACCAGACAGCAGAAGCCCTCCACAACTGGATCAGAGGGAATGACAAAGTCCCTGGGGCCTGGGCCGAGGTGGATGGAAAAGTAAGTAGACATCCAAAACATTTTCTTTTTCCAAATATTTAGAAATTTAGAGTGTAAGTGATATATAAGTGGTTTAACAGAATTAGTAACACCACATGGTCTTCTACATACAAACCTTTTAATACATTTGTTTGTTGCTTTTAGTTTTCTTTCTCACTCAACACTTTTCATTAGACCAAGTAGATGTTAAAATATTAGTCCTAAAGACAGTGTTGTACTGTCATTTGTTTTTGTAGAACGTGACTTTCTATGGCTCCACTCTGGTTGGAAATGGGACCTCAACACAAGGCCAGCCACTGGAGATCCCTGGGGCCAGTCAGCCTGGAGTGGTGACCAAAGCAGGGCTGATGTTGTTTGGAAATGATGGCAAAGCTGTAAGTGGCTATTGTATATTGTATAATAAGAATTTTAAGAATAACCCTCTGGTGTGTATGCTCAGCTCCTGGTGAAGAACCTGCAGTTTGATGATGGCAAGATGATCCCAGCCTCACAGTACTTCAGTGCAGGGAAGACCTCCACTGTGGAGCTGACAGAGGAAGAGAAAGCTCTGGCAGAGCAAATGAGAGTGAGTGTCTGTCTTTTTGTACATATCTCTGTGGGCTTGTTCTTTATATGTGTATATGTCCCACAGGCTGTGTGGCAGAGCATTCTGACCAATGTTAGCCAAATCCAGGACTCCACAGACTTCTTCAAGTCTGGAGCGGCTTCCATGGATGTGGTCAGGTATGGCCAATGTGTTTATTACATTGAGCAATAAAAATTGCAATGGCAAATAGCTGACTCATTATAATTTAGTTATTCAGATATTCTTAGATACATTTTTAGTATTTTTAGTTCCATATGTTTTAGTCCAATGTGTGTCTACACAGGCTTGTGGAAGAGGTGAAGCTGCTGGCCAGTAACTGTCAGCTCCAGAATGAAGACATCTACATGAACTCCACTTTCCAGGAGTTTATCCAGATGTGTGTGAGGAAGATCCGTGGTGAGGATGATGAGGAGGAGCTGGTGGTGGACTATGTAAGCATGTTTTTTGTACAGCTGTTTTTTGCTTGCAGTAACTCCTTTTAAGATTTGTGAAACACTGTTTTAGGTGGAGATGGACATAAACAAAATGACAGTAAAGATGCCTCATCAGATGTTTATAAATGGAGAATTTGTGGATGCAGCAGGTGGAAAAACATACAAGAGCATTAATCCAACCACCGGCACGGTAATAATTTAGTTATAAAATAGTTCAGCTGCAAACAAAGGAGCACTGGGTGTTGTTATTGTTATTTTGATAAAGTGGATTGGGCCATGAAAGTGCCTGAGTTTTGAATTAGTCGATGAATACTGTGTGCTTTGTGCAGGCCCTTTGTGATGTGTCCTTGGCTCAGATCAGTGATGTGGACAGAGCTGTCGCTGCAGCCAAAGAGGCGTTTGAGAATGGAGAGTGGGGCAAAATGAACCCCCGAGACAGAGGCCGCCTCATTTACAAGTCAGTGCACCCTTTTTGTCACCACACAGCTACAGAAGGGAAATAAAATACTTTCCCAGGATTTGCTAATCTTTTTTCATTGCCAACTTTTTTGTCATAAGCACAATGTACAGTGCAATACATTGTATTTACACATTTTAAATGTTTGAAAAACAGTCAATGATCAAAACATTTATCATAAAATTCCTGCCCTAATAAGTAAAAGCTGTCTAAAACAAGTCTGTGACCAACTATCAGCATTAATTATTGATTAAAGAGTTGAGATTTGTGTCATATTAATCAAATATTATCATAAATTAGCCTTTGTTTGTGTTGTCTCTCACGGGCAGGTTGGCTGACCTGATGGAGCAGCACCAGGAGGAGCTGGCCACTATTGAGTCCCTGGACTCGGGTGCTGTCTACACTCTCGCCCTGAAGACTCACATTGGCATGTCTATTCAGACCTTCCGCTATTTTGCTGGCTGGTGTGACAAAATTGAGGTAGGTGCTGTTGTCCTGGAAGCTTATCGTTCTAAAGTGAAGTCAAATCAATATCTTGCATGCATTAATAAGTTTACATTGTTTGACAGGGCAGCACTATCCCCATCAACCAGGCCAGGCCTAATCGCAACATTACATTTACAAAAAGGGAACCCATCGGGTAAGAAATAGGAGTTCATATCAATATCACTGCAAAAATTAATATTTAGATTAGATACATTTTCACACATCTACAATTATTCACTGGTGTATGAGCTATTTTGCACTTTCACACTTTTACAGTTCATTTTTTTCCTATTAGCTCAATGTTGGGCTTTGTCTGTGTGTTCTCAGTGTGTGTGCTATAGTGATTCCTTGGAACTACCCTCTGATGATGCTGGCCTGGAAAACTGCAGCCTGTTTAGCTGCTGGGAACACTGTGGTCCTCAAACCAGCTATGGTGACACACACTCTTATATGTTACAGCAGTATATACGAGTAACAGATTTGAGACATACCGGTACATTTCTGTTCCTAGGTGACTCCTCTGACGGCACTCAAATTTGCAGAGTTGACTGTAAGAGCAGGATTTCCAAAGGGTGTCATAAACATTCTTCCAGGATCAGGTAGAAACCTAAAATTACAAACTATATACAGTATTATAAAAATAATTTGAATTAACAACCTGATTGGAGATAATTGTTCAATTCTAGGCGCTCTGGCTGGTCAGCGATTGTCAGACCACCCTGATGTTCGTAAGCTTGGCTTCACTGGCTCCACTGAAATTGGCAAACAAATCATGAAGAGGTTGGAAGGGGCAGAGTTTCTTTCAGCACATGTATACTGTGGCCAAGATAAGATAGATATTATATAAGATATTATATTATCCTATTCTTATGCTGTTGTTTTTAGTATTATATTGCATCTATCTATGCTTGGGATATTATGAATTTATATGTTATGTACTTTATAAGCTGTATATTCATTATGCACAAATGTTTATTGGTTGTATTTATTTTATAACACTTGATTTGCTGTGGTGTGTGGTGTTCTGTAGCTGCGCTGTGAGTAATGTCAAAAAGGTTTCTCTGGAGCTCGGAGGAAAGTCTCCTCTCATTATCTTTGGTGACTGTGACATGGACAAGGCAGTGCGCATGGTACTGATGTTCATGAGTCTTATTGAATGTGTAGTTCTTCAGTGTTTATCTCCCTGCTCTGTTTCTTTAAGGGGATGAGCTCAGTGTTCTTCAATAAGGGAGAGAACTGCATTGCAGCTGGCAGGCTGTTTGTGGAGGATACTATTCATGACCAGTTTGTCAAAAAAGTGGTATGTGGCTGTCAAATATAGAACTAGTGATTCAGTGGCTAGAGTTTTAGGATCTGTACACAGAACAGTGCTAGCTAGCTCATGGTGTCTCAAGTGATCTGAAGTCACTTTTATTAAAATCAGGAAACAGAAAATAAACATATTAAAATTCATATTCACTAAAATGAAGCCTATCCAATTGTATTTTTATGTAGAATACTTTAGCTAGTTTTAATCTTGGTGTAATTTTAATATTAGTTCTGCCTCAAATGATCTTAAATTATCTTTTAATGTATATGTATAATATGTATCAATTTTAGCATAACTAGGCAAAAACCACATAGATAAAATTGGATAGGAAATAGTGGTGCTAACAGTGAGGTTGCCAGGCACCACTGACAGTAGCAGTCGATTCTATGCCAATGGTTGAACAGTTATTGTAGTTCTAAATATTAACATCAAATAACTGAATTCTTTTTTTTTTTTTTATTTTTATTGTTTATATGAATAGGAACAGATACACTAACATAGATTAATAATTCAATAATCTGATGCAGGCATCACAGTGTTTATAGTCAAGGCTAATTTGCAGCATCAGTCACCAGTCGGGGAATGAAGTCTCACCAATAAGATGATGTGGTTCAGTTATAGGCGTACATTTCATACACTCTTGTTTCTTTCAGGTGGAGGAAGTGAAGAAGATGAAGATCGGAGACCCACTTGACCGAGCGACTGACCATGGTCCTCAGAACCACAAAGCCCACTTGGACAAACTGGTGGAGTACTGTCAGACCGGAGTGAACGAGGGGGCCACGCTGGTGTATGGGGGCAAGCAAGTGGAGCGTCCAGGTGAGCTGTGTATTTTATCAGTTAAACCTTTCATATTTAACTTCACTTGTATGATTCATTTTGGCAGTCAATATATATCAGCATTATCATATGTAGGATTTAAATTCTACAGTAATCTATGCTCAGTAGTCTTTGCAAGCAGGGCTGTCAGAAATTTGGGAGCCCAGGGCAAGAAGCCTCACATGGGCCCCTTGTTAATATCAGTTAACTGGAAGAGCGTCCAATTCTGGGCCCCTATTACCCTGGGGCACTTCCCTGCTTCCTAGTGTCAAATACATCAGTCAACAACACATTGCACCATATTTTTGAATGCTACTGCCAATGAGGATCTAAATAACATACCATCTCCCACCCTTTGCTAGATCTCTTGAACTGCTCTGTCCCCCATTCCTTGCCAAAAATATCTGCAGCGTCGGATCCTAAGTTGAACTATCCTATAAGCGTTGTAGTTGAAAATATAAACTGCTGAGCTGCTTAAGTCCCATTCCTTCCACTCTCTTTGCTTTCAGGGTTCTTCTTTGAGCCCACCATCTTCACTGACGTAGAAGACCACATGTTTATTGCTAAAGAAGAGTCATTTGGACCAGTTATGATCATATCCAAATTCAAGAGCGGGTATAACTTTAAATCATGTCAAATTCATGCACAGATTAATTTCACCAATAACAATTTATTTTTGTTGGATTTGTAGAGAGGTAGATGATGTCCTAAGGAGGGCTAATGATACAGAATATGGACTGGCATCTGGAGTCTTCACAAAAGACATCAGCAAAGCTCTGTATGTCAGTGAGCGACTGAATGCAGGCACTGTTTTTGTCAACACGTACAATAAAACAGATGTGGCTGCACCATTTGGCGGATTCAAACAATCTGGATTTGGCAAAGACCTGGGTATGAAGAACTATTCTTTATTGCACACATTACTGGTACATTGTTGTTCATATTTTTACTACTGTACAATCTGGTCTTGTAAAATGAATACGGTTGTAGTTTTTGGTGTGGATTTTTGTACTAGCATATAGCTATGAATTCATTGTTGGATATATTCTATAAATATAAATCAAGAGGTATGATTTAAGAGGAGAAATGGAATTTGTAATAATGCCTTTGTGTGTTCCAACAGGAAAAGAAGCTTTGAATGAATACTTGAAGACGAAGGCAGTAACTATTGAGTATTGAGTCCAGTACTTCAGACCAGGGGAGCAAAATCCCCAATCTTGAAAACTAATGTGCCTTAACATACACAAACTTTAATATGTTTAGGGACCACATGCAAACACAATAATCTCATAAAAGATGAAGAGATGCTTTTCCAGATTTAGCTAAAGCTAATTTCCATCTGCAGTCCACGGGCAGTGCAACAATTAAATTTTTAACATATTGAATGTATTTGAAGATAGAACTAATATTGTTGCTGTGAAGTTAGAATAAAAATTAACTTTTATTCACCTCAGTTACTGTGACTTTTTTAGTGATGTGAAACAGAGACCGTGTTTCTCCACTTTCTCCAAAGGCTGGTGGTAGGACATAAACATCGCTGGTTGAGTGGATAGATCCACTGACCCACAGGTTGTTGGTGCAATTCCAGCTTCCACAGATGAATGCTTTCATTGTGTTGCCTTGCCCCCATGTCTGCGTGCACTGGTGTATGAATGTGTGTGTGAATGAGTGATTGGTTCCTTGATCTTAAGCGCTATGAGTGCCTTGAAGGTGGAAAAGTGGTATATAAAAATGTGACCTTTTACCATAGAGTTCTATTTGTTTGGATGATTGCAGCCTAACTTGATTTGACACAAAGTATTTGCCGTACTAATGCACTTATCCAAGAGGGAACCTAATGTCATCTAAAATGCACATTGTTGTTTTTTGTGTATTTTATTAGCTGTGTTTGCATTGTTATTGTTATGCCACTCACGAGCTTATTGTACTCCACAATTCAAGTAAATCAATAAAAAAAAAATCAACATAGTAGATGTAAATGTACTTTTTTTTTCTAAAACCTGAAACACCTACAATAATTACAAATTATTAAGGGATTGGCACATTCCTGCGGTGCACATGTGTCCAATTTCACCTATTCACTGGTGCTCAAATTTCAAGGGGGAATGTGTCTGAAAACAACTAATTTTATGGGACATAATACAATAATAATAACATGTTGAGGGCTCTGTCAGTGTGAGCCCACAGGCAGGCGGGGCAGGCAGGAGTACGCTGCCCCAAACAGGTGGGTGTTCAGGGGATTCCCATCAAGGCGGATATCCTCCAGCTTCTGACGAACGAATGTGGGGTCGTGACTGTGGCAAAATGTGTCCACATGAAGAGACTGAATATTGTTGTTCTGGTTGGAGAAGGAAATATGAAAATGTGATACTGTGTTGTGAATTTCAAAGGTCCTGTGTCACACAAAATGAACTCATGAGCTTTAAGCCATGTTATAATACTGTTACCTTCTCAAAAACATATCTGGTGTTGTGTTTTCTTCCATTCACACATGTTTGAGTTAACCTTTTTTAGTCATCTGCACCTCTACCTCTCTCACCTGGGATGTCATGAAGCGGTGGTTTTCAAGTTAACAGCTACCTTTTAATTGTTTCAGAAGAGATTCCAGGGCTGAAATCATCCAAATGATTCTAGTGAAAGTTTATGGAGTTTTGAAACACAATGGAGCACTTCCTGTGTTACAACAGAATAACAGTGGAAGGAGTGTTGTCCATTTGAGGGAAGAACGTAGCATAAATATGCAGAGTTTGTGGGTTAAACATGTGTGAATGAAACAAAGCAAAACTAGTTTTTTGATGAGGAAACAACATTTTACAACAGATCAGAAAATAAAGTAATATAGAACCTTTAAGCAGACTGTACATCCTGTTCATTGAGTACATATGACATTTACCTGGAGGTGCAGCACTCGCAGACTCAGAGGCAAAGGTGTGGGAACGTAGTCCAAGTCATTATCAGACAGATACAAGTACTCCAGATCACTCATGTCCTACATTGTACACACATAAATTTATTTAACATAATCTGATTATTTATTTAATTGTCTCACCACTGTAGTGGTCATAAACAGGGCAGACGTTTACAAATGCTGCTACATCTAGAGCAGGGGTGTCCAAAATGTAGAAATATATTAGCAGTGGAGAGACGTAGACTGGTTTTCAACACAGCAAAACTTCCAGATAGAGGCATTTTACACCACAATACCCTTAAAAAGTCTAATTCCAGGGCTAATTTAGGTCTGTATCACAATGCAATAAGACATTAGCAGAATACTTGAATTTGCAGTAAAAAATACTACATATGATCATTTGGGCCAATTCACCAGTGAGTTTGGACAGCCCTCATCTAGAGTTATGTAAGTATTTCATTGATACCTGGAATCCTTCTGTGTGCAGTCCGGAGTTCTTCAGTTTGTTGTTGCGTAGGTCGATGAGCTTCATACTGTTGGGAAGTTCAGGCAACATCTTCACATCATTATCTGCCAGAATCAGCTGCTGCAGAAGCAGCAATGGTCTGAACGCAGCCTCGTCAATCTCTGAGATGTCATTCCCCGTAAGGTCTATGGACTGGAGATTATCTAAGGAAATAAACAGGACTTCATACATACAGTTTAAAGGTGCATTCTTTAACTTTTCAGCATGTCCAGGGGTGTAGCACCAAGTTCTGGCCCCTAAGTACAAATGTCTAATGGAAAATGCCTATTAAAGTCCTCTCTGCACTAGGCCCTGGGTAAACAGACTCCCCCAGTCCAATGCCCCTGTCGCATGCCTGTCTCCGAGGAGAAGTTTTGTTTCCACTCCTCCGTATGGCATTGAACTTCTTTATCTCCATGGAGACAAGGAGGTTGCAAAAGACAAGGAGATTGCATAGTACAAAAGTGCACTATGCAACTTTTCTAGTAGAGAGTTCACCACCTGCTTGACTCCATGTAGATTTTTTTCCTAGAATGTTCTACAGTATGGCATTTGTTAACTATCTCCATGGAGACAAGCAGGCCAACATCACCAGGCCAAGTTACAGGTTAGACCTGTGGAGAAATGGCCCCACATTAAGAATGCATGTCTTTGCGTTAGTTTTGAGAAATAAAAATACCTGTAAATGAATGAATGCAAAATATATTTGTTTAATGCTACACTGTGGAACATCCCAGGCAAGGAAATAATATCTCCATGGAGACAGCAGGTTGTGAATCCCCACCCGAAAAGTTATACAGAGCACCTTTAATGGAAAATTTGGATGACTTGCTTACTGAGATTAATGAATGTTGAGTTCTTGATGTGTTCGATTTTGTTGAAGCGCCCGTAGAAGTGAGCGGTGTCTTTCGGAAGAGGTGGAATATCTTCTAAATCGGAGTCGTCACAATACACGCTCCCCCCAAGGCACACGCACAGCAGACAAGTGGGCATACCTGCACAAAAGCAACATCCAGCACTAGACTCACTTTTAATGCATTATTATTTCATATTTTATAACAGAAAAATATGATGTACAATATATTGATAGGAACAGATTATTGAAATGACTGAATAAGCAGCATGACTATTAGCAACTATCTTCCATCGGTGTGTTAGTAAAGTTTAAATCAGTCTGAAGGAGCAGGGACTTGAATTTTTATTTATTTATTTTCTGTTCAGTGGAGGATGACTTCAGAAAGCTTTAAAAAAAAAAAAAAAAACACACAACACACAACACACACACACACAAGAAATGTTTGTTAAAAGTAAAAAAAAAAGAAGTATAACTCAAGTGTACCCATGCCAGTGTTAGGGCCAAACAGTTCCTTGGCCTTGAAGTCCAGGGTGGTGGATATGGGTGTGCTGGGTTTGGGAAATTCCTCGTGAGATTGGTCCTCTTCTTCTACTTCTTCTACGTTTTCTTCTTCTTCTTCTTCCTCAGCTGCTTCAGGCTCTGCAGTGACCTCTGGAACAGGAGCATCTATCTGTCCTCCAAAATAGAACAAAATAAAACACGTGACCAAGCACAACCACAAATCAGGTAAGGTATACACTTGTCATACCATTTCATCAGGGGCAGAGCCAGACAATTTTGGTTGGGGGAGTTATGGGTGCTAATGTCTTCGATGGTGCTGCATACTTAACATTTTAATTTAAAGCCTTTTATGTAATCTGAGCACACCCCCATCCCTTGTCATCTTTGCTTCACTGTTTTAAACAAGTGTAAATATAGTTCACCCCTGTAGTGACTTATAACATCTAAAATGGAATTATTGTTTTATTGTAGGCTCATTTTGAACTCTGTAGTTGCCATTTGAACATTTTCTGTAAAAATCTTTGGGGGAGCTGTGGGGATGCATTGGCCCTTGTAGGCCCTTGTAAGGCCAGTGTGCACTAATGTTCCTCACTGACTCCGGCCCTGCATTTCATCCTAAGTCATGTTAAAAAAAATGTATTGACAGTTTTTAAAAGAAAATACGGTATATGGTTGTTTTGATTTATTACTAAACTAAAGCATATGTACATAATTTTACATTTTCCTCACCTCTTGGTCCAGATCATCATAGTCAAAAGTGTTGTAAAGGTGGAGGTCCAGGTCTTCATCTGTGTCCAGGTTGAGCAGCTCGTCCTCAGGGTCTTCCACTGGAGCGGCCCCTCCAGAACTCACCAGCAGGAACAGGAACAGGGCTGTGAGCCATCTGAGAGACATGGACATCCCAACTGTGGAGAACTGCAGACAGGAGAGGAGGCAGTGGGCATAAAATCACTCAGATTATTACTATGATATTTAAACAAAAATAATATTTCAGTGGAGATGGAGTCTGATGGATGCTTTGTCTACAGTTCTTTAGTGACACATTAAACATCACACAGAAACACAGAAACAGAAACACAGAAACACAGAAACATCACAATATAATGTGAAGGTATGTATGTGCAGTATCGGCTGCAGAATTTAAAGCTTTAGTCTGGTCTTGGCACAGTGAGGGTGTTCACCACACACCCAACAAATATTCCTCACATGAAAATTTTACAGGTATGTTTGGCAGAGGCAAAAACACACATACCAAACTTAAAGGTGCACTGTGTAACTTTTCTGATGTTATTGCTTTGCCTGGGATGTTCCACAGTTTGGCATTAAAGAAATGTGTATTCAATTACAGGTGTTTGCATTATGCATTATTATTGTGAGCAGGTCCTCTTCTCCGCAGATCTGACCTGTATTTTGGCTGACTAGTATGCCTGCTTGTCTCCATGGAGATAGTTCCATCTACCTTAAAAGCTACACAGTGCAACTTTAAGATAAAAGATCTATAGAAACTCTAACATCTTTTAAAACTCTAAATCTAGCAACCCCACGTCACCAGTCACTGAAAACAAAAGCCTGTTTGCTCTGGCCTTTAACAAGGCAGTGTCAGCTGACTGGTGCATTCTAGGAGAGAAGTTTTAAAAACAATCAGTTTACATTCTTCAAATATTCAGTGTTGTAAAAATGTATTATACAGAAATGCTTTTATAATGTTTTGAATGTTCTATAAGTAAATAAAAACAATTTGCTATAACTAACCAAACTAACCAAAACAAAAATGTCTTTCAAAATATTTTATGCTCATAAATATTACTAATAATGTTCATGAAATGTAATAGAACAAGCCCATACACAGTTTTATAACATTAAATATATGTTTATTGAATGACAGGCTCCTATATAAATTATCTTTGGGTTTGATGATGTTTAAATATGAGTGTGATGGAGCAGGAAATACTTAAATTAAGACTTTCTAATATTACATTTTAAATTAAATATTATTATAAGCCTTACAGCACCATCTGCAAGATGGTTCTAATAAGTTCTAAAATCACAGCTATGAGTGAATACATTTCAGGGGTAAAAATATAAATAGAGAAGTATGAAACATTATGTTTTTGTTACAAAATCATATCTTGCTTTTTTGTCTGATGTAAATGAATGTAATATTAGCAAAAAGTATGAAGTATAGTAGTATAAAAATAGTAAATAGTAAAGGTATGATGGCTCACCATAGTGTGGCGTGGTTCCCAGTGAAGACCCCTGAGGCTGCTCCTCCTGAATGCTCACACTGGCCTTCACAGAGTGGAGTGCTGTGAACAGAGGAGAATGGGAAGGCAACAGAAAGCAGAGGGGGGCATAGGTCTGTAAATGCTCAGCTGTACAACACAAACAACTGTCCCAAAAGGAAAACTCATCTAAAGGTGTGATTCAATACCATCTGCCATTATATTAACTTCCAGGTTTTTATTGTTATGATCTGTAAATGCAAAACCTTTGGTGGTATTGAACCCATAGAAACTAAAGATCTTTAAATTGGAATAGATTTGAATGTTAATGAAGATAACCATGTAAATAATTATATGCAAATGCTCCAATAATAATGCTCCAATAATCATTTAGTGCAGCCAAATTAAGTTAACTCAAAAAAACACAACCAATTCTGTGGGATGCTACTAGATAGAAGTATAATCTTTGTATAGATAGACATCTGTTTGTAAGATGCAGTCCCAGTGCTCAAATACCACATCAATGTGCAAAAGAAAAACAACCACAACTGACTGGTCACAGGCTCACGTCTAGACATTACACAACTGAGAGGACAAGAAAACCATCACAAGAGCAGCTTTTCAGATGGCAGTACTGCACTTTGTGTTGTCATTAAGTTCCTTATATTCACATATTTTCTGAAAAAAAATGTGTGGAAGTCCACAGCAGTGAGTGTCCTCTCATGGTGTACAGTGATATGTTCAGAGTAAAATTTAAACACTCAAACTTCTTGTACTAGTTTTCTGTTTTAAAGATCTCCAACATTAATGTGACTGGGGCATTACTGATGTATATTATTGATAATAAAAGATCATTTTATGACAGACAGTTATTTTAGATGTTTTTAGATTACACTATAAAGAAACCAAAAATTGTAAGGTGAATGTTCTGACCAGATCAGAACAAACACGTAAAAAGTCATCAGGAGGTCTGGTGTCATCTGGCCTACATGTGAAACTGCAAACTCATAGATTTGGGCATTCAAAGTCTCCTCCCCCCCAACCTACTTCTGTAAATAGCTGTGCTGGATGTGTGAGGAGCAGCTGCTTGCGTCTATCCCAGGCTCTACTAATGTTAGCTGGGAAAGGCCAGAAAAGCTGTATTTTTAGATTTTAGCTAATAATATTTATACTAACATTTTATTCTGTGGTCCATTTTGAATGTATAGCTCCATAGTGTAAATAAGTATTTCAACATCAGATGAACCAGAGGGGACTTAAAGACACAAGTGGGTAAGATATGTGCTGGTGTGAACCCCCACCTCCTGGCACTGCTCTCCTGTTCTCTGTGACATTTCCAGACCTCACTCCCCTTATGCTCTTGTGTTGTGTGGATGCTCTCTGCTCTTCTGCCTGTAGTCCTTTATAACCCAACCTGTTGTTTAGCATGGCTGATAAAAGTCGTTTGGCTATGAGAAGAAAGGACAAGAAGGAAGAGCTTGAGCCAGTCAAAAATGTGAAAGAAGTGAAAGAAGTGAAAGAAGAAGAAGGGGAGAAACCAGCAGAGAATGGAGAAGCGCCCCAGGAGAACGGAGCGGCCGCTGAGAATGGAGAGCCTCTACTGGAGCCGATGGAGCTGCCCCCCTTTGAGATCATCACAGGGTACGTGCCCATTTGGGGGGTTCCAGATATGTATGGAAATCATTTATATGTGCGCATGCTGAGACGCAGTGACTGATGCTAAACCCTTACAATTACCATAGAGTATCCCTTTTGAGAAAAAAATAAAAATAAATAAATAAATACTACTACTACTACTACTACTACTACTACTACTACTACTAATAATAATAATAATAATAATAATAATATTAATAATAATAATAATAATAAAATCACCTCGGGCTCATTTCCTGCCTCATTCATGTGACAACTTGTTAGAGCAAGTTCTTGTAGTGCAGAAAGAAACACGTCTACATCAGCAGAGGGCACCAGAGCACATCTAAGTTTATTTTATGACACCTCCAGAATGCCTGCTCCAGTCTGATCTGAGTTAAGCAGAGTTGTGCTTGGTTAGTACCCGATGGGAGGCACTTGGAATATCAAGGACCTGTGGCGGCGCAGCAGTGAATACTCTTGTTGTTTCCCTTGACAAAATACTTCACCCCTCTTCACCCACTTGGATTCAGGGTTGAAGGACAGTTGAATGAATGACAGTGTGTTTGTGAGAGCACATGTGAGACAACAGATGCAGATGTTTACAACATGTAGGCTTATCTGCAGGCATGTTCACTGAAATGCACTGTCCCCCACCAAATAAAGAAATATTGATGTATAGGCTACTGTATAATAAAGGCAGAGTGTTTATTGAATTACTGAATACACTCCTTATGTATGTCTTTTGAACAGGGACCGGATAGATCCATTTGTGTTCAAGTTTCAGTTCAAAACGTGGAGTATTCGTCTGGGCGGAACAAGACGTTTCTGTGCTACCTGGTGGACCGGGGCAGTGTGGAGGGGCTGCTGAGGGGGTACCTGGAGGATGAGCACACAGGGGCCCACGCAGAGGAGGCCTTCTTCACACAGTGTCTACCTGACTACGACCCTGCTGTCAAGTACACCATCACGTGGTATGTGCTGCAGACTTTATCGAAACAATATACATGCTAACATTTATAACACATATGGCAATGTTTTGGTTTTACAACAAATGCTGAGGTCTGTTGACTTAACTGAAGAAGTATAATCATTTACATACATGTTACATTTTCATCATTTTGAGTAACTGTATGTAAAAACAGAAAATAAGCATTCAGAATATTAATTTTGAGAAACTGTTTTCCTGTTTTCATTTGGTGGTCTTCAGAATACAGCTACTTTCCTAAAATCAAAAGGTGTACATAGCAGTACCTGATCACAAAAGGTTTCAAACTGCACATGACCAATGAGGAAACTAGTAAACAGCGCTGTTATGGTATGTGGATATGTGATTTTAACTTCTCTAACTACTCATAGGAAATGCATAACAAATGGCAGAAACAAACCTAAAGCTGTTTTTAATCCTTTACTCTATAATTTACGTGTGACTCAATGTAAAAGTTTTCTAAGTATTCAGAATACAATACTGTGGTTGGACCATGTAACAGAATACGTTATAAAATACATTTTAATGCAGGTATTCAGAATGCTGTAACTAAATACATTTTCTAAGTATTCTTGCCATCACTGGATATAAGTTAAGTATTTCTAACTGAGCCTAGTCGCCCTTATAGCACAAGTGTCACAACTATTTTGAGAGAAGTGTGGATGCCAGTGCTAATCCACTCTCAAAGCAATTAGCTAAAGACAAAATTATGAATTCCCAAAGAAGAAAAAATAGAGCTATTTTTATTATTTATATCATAACAAAACAATAAATCCAGTGAAAACAGGTTCTTTAAAAAGGAGAGAAGTCTATGTCTCATTCGAGTGAGACTTGTGTATTGTGAAATAACATCATATAGTACATCATATAAGATATCAACACCAACACATGCTCAGTCTCGTATAACTCCGTCCTTACAGCACCTCTCTAAAATATGATTCTTATTTAAAGCTAATATTAAAGAATATCTACCTCACAGCCACCAGAGGATTCATTTGTACCACTACAACTCAAGAAACAACCCACAAAATGAGCCAGAACTAAAACTTTTGTAAATTGAGGTCGTATAAATCATCCTTAACAAGGACTAAACCAGGTCTCAATAGTTCGATTCAATAGTTGTTAATCAGGTCATAACCAGGACTTAACCAGGACTAGACTAGTACTAAACTTTAAATTAACTAGGACTATGTAAATTTGACTAACTAGTATAAACAGACCAAGAGTAAACCAGGATTTGATCAACATTATACAGGTCTAAACAGGTCTCAAATAAGTCAGGCAAAATCAATGACGCTATCAATGCCTGGATAGCACCTGTGGTCCTCACTCTACAGTTTGAGGACCACAGCAATAAACTATTTTTAGAAGTTGGTGTTATTTAAATGTTATTTAAGGTTGATGCAAAACAGCAATGCAAATATGAAAGAGAGGGGTTCTGTTTAATATGTAAACGATAGCCAGCAAACTAAACAAGACCAGGTTTGTGACTGTTTGCTCATGGATTTAACCCTGATCACATCTTTTATTTGTCAGTTACAATTAATATTTGTAAAAGAGTTAATTTCTGACTACGCTTTGTGTAACTGAAAGACAACATGACCTGCACTCTGAAATAGAATGGTTCATATCACTAAGAGTTAACTGATTAATTTGGGGAAGTCCAGTGACTTTTTACATTAGGTTTCATCCAGAAGTCCTTTAAAGCTAACTAGACACTGGCTGTTATCTGTTATCTTACCAGATCTTATCATATCTTATGTCACATTTACATGTTTACATTTGTACTGAGGTGAAACACATTCTAGTTTTACAGTACTATAAGCTATACCACAAAAATAGTCAATTGATTGTTAGAGTGAAAGACAGTCCTTCTTTACTTTTGAAGTGGAAGTCATAAATTCACACGGGGTGGAGTATAGAACCTATTACCCATCCATTTTTTACTGTTTTTTTTTTTGCAAAGGTTTTATGTGTCTAGACAATTTGTTTGCACAATCTTTCATTTTGTTAGAGGCTATGTACATGTAAAGTGATTGTTGTCGCCCTCTGATGGTAACAGTGAGAATAGTGCATGTTGAAATGACTTTTTAGCAGCCCACGTTTTCATAACTTGATTTTTGCAATAAGCAGTGTTGGGAAGGTTACTTTTAAAATGTATTCCCCTACAGATTACAGATTACATACCCCAAAATGTAGTTTGTAACATAATCCATTAAATTACTTAAAGTGAGTAACGTAATCTGAATACTTTGGATTACTTGATATTGTCATGCTTTTTAAAACTACATGAATGTAGAAACCACATCCTGAAAATTCTTGTTTGTTCTCTTCAAATTGTCTGTTGAGCCCAAGTCTCCATGAACAGACTTTTGTTTACTGTAGAGAAGCACGAAGATCTGAACATAAGATGTTTTATCAGCTAAAAGAAAATAAAAAGACCAGCCTTTCCTGAACCAAATAAAAAATATTATTGATAGAGAAATGATTTTTATATGAGAAATGAGAAATTTATATGAGTATGTCCACCCTACTGTTAGTGTCATATTGTTTAGACCTGTTTTAGTCCTGGTTTAGTCCTGGTTTTAGTCCTGGTTTAGTCCTGGTTTTAGTCCTGGGTTAGACCTGATTTAGTCCTGGTTTAGTAGTCCTGGTTTAGACCTGGTTTTAGTCCTGGTTTAGTACTGGTTTTTAGTCCTGGTTTAGTCCTGGTTTTAGTCCTGGTTTTAGTCCTGGTTTAGTCCTGGTTTAATCCTGGTTTAGACCTGGTTTTAGTCCTGGTTTAGTCCTGGTTTTAGTCCTGGGTTAGACCTGATTTAGTCCTGGTTTTAGTCCTGGTTTAGTCCTGGTTTAATCCTGGTTTAGACCTGGTTTTAGTCCTAGTTTAGTCCTGGTTTTAGTCCTGGTTTTAGTCCTGGTTTAGTCCTGGGTTTAGTCCTGGTTTAGTCCTGGTTTAGTCTTGGTTTTGTCCTGGTTTTAGTCCTGGTTTTGGTCTTGGTTTAGACCTGATTTAGACCTGGTTTAGTCCTGGTTTTAGTCCTAGGTTAGACCTGATTTAGTCCTGGATTTAGTCCTGGGTTAGACCTGATTTAGTCCTGGTTTTAGTCCTGGTTTAGTCCTGGTTTAATCCTGGTTTAGACCTGGTTTTAGTCCTAGTTTAGTCCTGGTTTTAGTCCTGGTTTAGTCCTGGGTTTAGTCCTGGTTTAGTCCTGGTTTAGTCTTGGTTTTGTCCTGGTTTTAGTCCTGGTTTTGGTCTTGGTTTAGACCTGATTTAGACCTGGTTTAGTCCTGGTTTTAGTCCTGGTTTAGTCCTGGTTTTAGTCCTGGTTTAGTCCTGGTTTAGTCCTGGTTTAGTCTTGGTTTTGTCCTGGTTTTAGTCCTGGTTTTGGTCTTGGTTTAGACCTGATTTAGACCTGGTTTAGTCCTGGTTTTAGTCCTGGTTTAGTCCTGGTTTTAGTCCTGGTTTAGTCCTGGTTTTAGTCCTGGTTTAGCCCAAAATGTAAAAACAGGAAAATACCACCATGTAATCCATTTATTTCAACAAAGTAACTGTAATCCAATTACCACTCATGGAAACAGTAACTGTAACTGAATACAGTTACTCATAATTTGTACTCTGATTACGTAACGCCGGTACATGTAATCTGTTACTCCCCAACACTGGCAATAAGACACTTCATAATAAAGTTAATCAGTTCAGGTAGCAAGGAGAAGGCAAGGCGAGTTTATTTGTACTGTAATTGTTTTTCTATTTATTATCACACAGTTTGTACACAAAGTAATTCAAAGTGCTTTACAAAATAAGAAAATCACAAAACAAACAAATCAAAATATAAATATAATCATTAATCAGTCAATTAACATTTGTGCTTTGATGTGTCTTTTGAGCATCCTGTATGTTTGTTTTCTCTCTTCAGGTATGTGTCATCCAGCCCGTGTGCCGCCTGTGCTGCTAAGATTGCCGAAGTGCTCAAAACGAGGAAAACCGTCAAATTGAGTATTTTTGCCTCTCGCCTTTTTGAGTGGGAGGAACCGGAGATCCAGGCCGGACTGAAGACCCTGCACGCTGCTGGATGTAAGCTGCGCATGATGAAGCCTCTGGACTTCTCCTACACCTGGGACACCTTTGTGGAGGGAGATGAGGAGGCATTTAATCTGTGGGAGGACTGCAAGGACAACTATGAGTACTACCAAGACAAGCTGGCTGATATTTTGCAGTAGCCAGTCAAGATTCAAGATTTATCCAAATAGATTTTTTTCTATTTAGTGTAAGCTGAAGGGATCTGCTGCTTACACTGTTTTGGCCTGGTGAATGATTAGTAATGGATAAAACAAAAAGTATGTGCAGGAAGTAATGTTTAACAATTATTATTTGAAAGTCTTTAGTTGGACAAAATATTATGTGAAGCAACAGTAGCTCTGATGACAGCACAGACAAAAATGTATTCAGTCAGGTAAGGACGAAACTAAACTTCACAAACCTGAT